AATATAATCGTTACTAGTGTGTTACATTTATGTACTCACTATGTAATCAGCATATTACATACTTGTTATCTTCTAAAAACTGCACATGTTATATCATGTGCTATTTATTTTCGTGCAACAATGGCACGATCCTATTCCGGAAGTTTTTCAAAACCTCCAGCCAATCTTTCCTGGCAAGAGTAATACAGGGTGGAGCGCGAGAGACAGATGGATTATAAAATGAAAAAACATTACTAATTCATGAAAAATTCTCAAACTTTTTTTACCTCATGTGTAAGCATTGGAAATTTAGATTTATTTGGTTTTGAACAGCGTATCTGGCATATGGGCACCCTCACTTTGAATACACTGATCAAGACGTTTTCTGAAGTTTTCGTGAACTCTTCCGAGCATTTCAACAGGAATTTCAGCGATGTTGGCCCTGATGTTGTTCTTGAGGTCTTCTATGGTCCTTGGACGATCATTGTAAACCTTGGATTTGAGGTAGCGAAAAAGTCGCAAGGGGCCAAATCTGGCGACCGCGCTGGCCAGTCCAAATCGCCTCTCAGGGAGATGAGGCGCCCGAGGAACCTCCCTCTCAAAAACTCCATCACTCTTCTTGCTGTGTGGGCGGTGGCCCCATCTTGTTGGAACCAGACGTCCTCATCCACACCCATTTCATCTAATGCATGCAAGAAAAACTCCTGAATCATAGTCAAATAACGCGCCGAGTTGACGGAAACGGCTCTGTCATTTTCCTCAAAAAAATAAGGTCCGATGATCCCATTTTTCGAAAGTGCACACCATACGGTTACCCTATCGGAGTGAAGAGGCCTCTGATGGAGTTCCCTGGGGTTTGTCTCGCTCCAATAGCGCATGTTTTGCTTGTTGACACAACCGCTAAGATGGAAATGTGCCTCGTCAGAGAAGAACACAACAGCGTCTCGAGGCAGCGCTGCAAGGATATTTTCACTCGCGATTTGTCTGGCTTCGTAATCACGTGGTTTCAATTCCTGGACGACTACCATTTTGTAGGGATGCATATGCAGGTGTTCTTTGATTATTCGATGCATAGATCGTCTCGAAATGCCAAAGACTTGTGACTGTTTCCGAATTGACCGCCTTGGAGATTGTTGAATGGCGACTCGAACTCTTTCAACGTTTTCTGGGGTAATGACGGAGTTCTGAGGCCCCGTACGATGTTCCACTGACCAAAACATTGTTGCGACTTATTAGCTACAAAACATAAACTTCCCATTCCCCTCTTTCAGATAAACCCCCTCCCAGACCCCTGTTGCGCATGCGCCACGCACGGCGCCTCTACCAATTCCATCTGTCTCCCGCGCTCCACCCTGTAGTATAGAACAACGTAAGACCTTCCGAAGGGGCATCTCTAAAAAGCATTATGCGGTCACAATTGTTTTACTACTGCTTCAGATTTTACGCAATTCTGTAGAAACTAAAATAAAATTATACCGCAAAAATGGTGGTCATTGATCTTAGATAACCTTGCGAATGAAATATGACACCACAAAAATAGGACCATTGCCCTTAAGCATTAAATAAGATAGGGCAAAAAATGAGGTCATTAAACTTGTATGACCTTCAAAATGGAATATTAATATCGCAAAAAATGGAGGTCATTGAACTTTGATAACTTTGAAAATGAAATGCGACACCGCAAGAAGTGGAAGTCATTGAACTTTGATACCATTAAAAATGAAATACGATACCACAAAAATGTGGTCGTTGCACTTTGATGACCTTCAACATAAAATATACCATTACAGAAATGGGGTCATTGAACCTTAAAATCAAAATAATATAAGACAAAAATGAGGACATTAAACTGTGATCACTTTGAAAATAAAAATAGATGACATTAGAAAAATTGGGTCATTGCTTTGTAATGACTTTGGAAAGAAAATGTCACTCCAAAAAAATGGTTGACATTTGGTAAAAATGGGTTCATTGTCCTTGGATGATCTCTACAATGTAATTCGGCACCACATAAAATTCAGTCATTGACTTTTTGAATCTTTGCTGTTTAATTTTTTATGTTTAATAAAGCGGCATATCTTTTCACGTAAAACCAAATGTTTCTTCTTGACAACAACGTTCATTATTTTATCCAAATTTGAATAGGTTTTTTTCTTAGACTCCTACAATATATATAGTAAAGAGATCACTGCTACAAATATAACTGCAATCTGTCTAACACTCAATAAACGCGCAGGTGGATAGCGACTTTACTAGCGCATATGTTAGGTACGTTACAAAAAAGTAATCCCACTGCGCGACTCAATACAAAACACGAGAAGCAATTTCAAAACTCGTCCTCCATTAGCCGCAAATTCGCCTTGAACATTTATCATAAATCTAACACTAGTCATTTCAACCGCCACCTTTAGAAATTAGTCGCTCGCCGATAGCACACAAAACTAAAAACGATGAGGGACAAAATTTATTCGGTCGGTTATTCTAGGGTCACTTGATAAATGTGAGCGAGTACAAAGGAGACACAGAGAAAGATTTGGCATTTACAATATATCTGCAAGGGTTTCTGTTCGTGATGTTACTTCTGAAGTTGTTGTAATGCTTATCCAGTTCGAGGTCTATAGAAAATCGATGACTTTTGTTAAGAGAACATCTCACAGAACCATGTCGAATCATTTACTGTATGTCTTTCTGATCCGAATAGGTTTTTTGTATTGTAAAGTTCGATTTTATTTCGTCTATTTACAATATTAGAACATGCAACTCATTAGGAAATACAGATATACCTTTGTTAAACATAAACATATAATACCAAACAAAAATATGTAAATAATTTTGATGTAGATTGTAAGGAAATCTAATTACCTAACTACGGTCAAACATCGTTTATTTATTTAAAGTTGAGCACAAAATGACTTGTTCCCATGAAATCGTCGCAATTATGTAGTGGTTAGTATATATTAAGCTGAATTGAAACGAAATGGTCCACTAGGTTAGTAGCACTTCACCTATTTCTACAGAATGCCCAAGGAAAGTATTATTTATATACTCGTAGATGCGTTATATTGATATTCAGATGCCGTCTCACATGGTTCGTTGGTGTGAAATTACAATACCGTCGGAGAGACTTGTAAAGACCTTGTTTAAGTGTAACATTCTCTCAATATATCGAGTTATTAATAATAATTATTAGCTAGTCACCAGTGTCAGTGTCAATTTGGACTTATTGGACAATTGGTCAAACCCCCGGGATCGTTAATCAAGGACTAAATTTCACTTTTTAGACTGCGACTTTGGGCAAACAACAAAATTCCATGGAGATCAGCACGCGGTAAGCTCAGGCAAAGTGGAGGTGGGTCGGGGTGAATATGGTGGTTCTTATACATAAGCAAAGATAAAGCAAAAGGGAAAAGTAGTAATAGTAATCCGGAGAAAATATTAATATCAAAACAGGCTTCCCTAGAAACAACCGTTAAGTGAATCGAAAACCAACGTAACCAAACATTTAAATTAGGGAATCGAAGAAAATAACAACATTTATCTTTGCAACCTTGTGAGCTCAGAAGAGCGCGTTCTGCCAATCTGTAACAGAGAACCACACATACTAACAAATAAAAGGATTAGTGAATCGCGCTGCACAAAAAGTATTGCGAAATAGCAATGTCTGACAAGGGAAGCTAATCGTATACTAAAACTGTAATTAATACTCAAAAAGAATCAATAATGCGAATGACTTTACACTAGCAAAAGCAAAAGTTTGATCGACCACGGGTGTCCTTAACGTTCCGGGTGTAGCATAAAAGTGACGTTGAAAACATTTTATTTAATTGCGGTTGATATTGAATGCCTAATGTTTTAGTAATGTTCCTACGATTCGAAGATGCTCTTAATTTTAATATTCTATGTTTAGCCTCATATTTCACTAACTAAATATGAGGCACCTCCAAACTTTTTTATCGTATCAGGACAATGCTTTAAAAAATGAAATTTGGGTTTTAATAGTTGTTTACTAAAGTAAATGTATTCATCAATTAAAGTTGATAGTATGTCGGAATAGTTTATTGTAATGGGAGAATACAATACGATATTTAAAATTTTTTTGCGCAATGTTAGATAAAGAGGCCAAACTTGAAAGTATAAAGTCTCCAATCAAAAGGCCAAAATATCTTAACAAGTTAAAAAGTAATCGTAAACGATTTACATAAAGCGCATTTCCACTTGCATTCATTTCCCATTTGTAAGATGCAACTTCTGTTAAAATCGTAAAAATCCGCCCACAAATATGAAAGATAGCGTTGCGCATGGGCAATCCATTGTTGACGTGCTACTTCAATTTCAGTTTATGCGAAGAATTTCATTTCAATGCTTTTCTAAATAAGAAAGTTGGAACTGCGCATGCGCAAACCTAAATTTTAAAACTAATGTTAGATTTTCCTTTGTTCCAAGCGCCTAAGTATCAAATTTCACTTAAATAGTTCCATAGATAAAAAAGTTGGCACTGCGCATTCGCAAAATAAAATTTTGAAACTAGCGCTAGATTTTCCTTTATTCCAAGTGCCTATGTATCACATTTCATTTAAATTCTTCCATAAATAAAAAAGTTGGCACTGCGCATGCGCAAAACCAAATTTTGAAATTGGCGTTTGATTTTCCTTTATTCCCAAGTGCCTATGTATCAAATTTCGTTTAAATTCTTCCATAAATAAAAAAGTTGGCACTGCGCATGCGCAAAACCAAATTTTGAAATTGGCGTTTGATTTTCCTTTATTCGAAGTGCTTATGTATCAAATTTCGTTTAAATTCTTCCATAAATAAAAAAGTTGGCACTGCGCATGCGCAAAACCAAATTTTGAATTTGGCGTTTGATTTTCCTTTATCCCAAGTGCCTATGTATCAAATTTCGTTTAAATTCTTCCATAAATAAAAAAGTTGGCACTGGGCATGCGCAAAACCAAATTTTGAAATTGGCGTTTGATTTTCCTTTATTCGAAGTGCTTATGTATCAAATTTCGTTTAAATTCNTGTAAGGTAACAATGTACCCGTGCCTTTATTTATGGGAGCGTGTAAACGCTCCTTTACAAATGCACTACATTGACATCAATAGATGTCGCTAACTAATCATTAATGATAACATAATCAAGTGTCATTTCCACTTCCTAGTCGTAGGCCTAATCATGGCTGTATAAAAGGAGGATCCCTTGAGTTTAGAAGACACTTCTATCCTGTCATTTGATGACCGAAAACCTGAATCCAGACCCGAAACTGATAATCATTCATCCGATTTCCCGTTTGCATTCGATACCGTTTCCGTTCCGCTTATATCCTTAACCCACCTGTCCCTGCACCCTTAACCTCGCCATTCATTCGAAATCATCCAGTCCTTGAAAGACGAACCCTCAAACACCCGGAAGTTCGATACCTGTGGGGCCTGTGACCCGCATGTAGCCAGCTCCCGCTTGCTTGATTTAGTCGTAAGGTTGTGAACGTTAAGCGGAGGTAGTGGCCGTGTCACATCTTGCTTTTCGTTACCATACTATCACCAGTCCCTTAGATACGAGGCGAGTCAAAGTACGGGAACTGGGAACTGTGGGGCCTTCGACCTGCATTCCTCCAGTTTGCGACCGTTGATTCTGCTTCAACCTCGAGCGTGGTGTACGGGGGTAGTGGCCGTGTCACATCCTGTGTACCACCTCTAGCATAAGTACCATACCGCACTGACGGGCCGAGTATTCGGAAGTGCTGGTGTCATTCACCTGAAATAGAACCCGGCGGCACCAATCATTCGCACCCCGATTCATCGATAGCTTACCAACTCCCGGATAAAAACCCGCTAATCGATAAACTTACAGCTACCGCCAAATTAGAGTACCGCTGAGCCGAGGCGATCAGCTCCGACATCTCGACACCTGAGATCGCCGCCATTGCCCTTTTACCGCAACCCGAGGCAACGGCATAGCAGAATACTACCGTATCGACAACACCAGGGATACCAACTAAATAATAATTCTATATTCTGTGGTATAGATACACGGTGTTCAAAAATAAAAGGAAACTGGTGTGTAAATAAGTTTTATTTAGAAACCCTGGGGCACGACTGTAGCTACCCGCGTGCCCACCGAAAAACCCTTACAGTCTCTCACATGGTTCGTTGGTGTGAAATTACAATACCGTCGGAGAGACTTGTAAAGACCTTGTTTAAGTGTAACATTCTCTCAATATATCGAGTTATTAATAATAATTATTAGCTAGTCACCAGTGTCAGTGTCAATTTGGACTTATTGGACAATTGGTCAAACCCCCGGGATCGTTAATCAAGGACTAAATTTCACTTTTTAGACTGCGACTTTGGGCAAACAACAAAATTCCATGGAGATCAGCACGCGGTAAGCTCAGGCAAAGTGGAGGTGGGTCGGGGTGAATATGGTGGTTCTTATACATAAGCAAAGATAAAGCAAAAGGGAAAAGTAGTAATAGTAATCCGGAGAAAATATTAATATCAAAACAGGCTTCCCTAGAAACAACCGTTAAGTGAATCGAAAACCAACGTAACCAAACATTTAAATTAGGGAATCGAAGAAAATAACAACATTTATCTTTGCAACCTTGTGAGCTCAGAAGAGCGCGTTCTGCCAATCTGTAACAGAGAACCACACATACTAACAAATAAAAGGATTAGTGAATCGCGCTGCACAAAAAGTATTGCGAAATAGCAATGTCTGACAAGGGAAGCTAATCGTATACTAAAACTGTAATTAATACTCAAAAAGAATCAATAATGCGAATGACTTTACACTAGCAAAAGCAAAAGTTTGATCGACCACGGGTGTCCTTAACGTTCCGGGTGTAGCATAAAAGTGACGTTGAAAACATTTTATTTAATTGCGGTTGATATTGAATGCCTAATGTTTTAGTAATGTTCCTACGATTCGAAGATGCTCTTAATTTTAATATTCTATGTTTAGCCTCATATTTCACTAACTAAATATGAGGCACCTCCAAACTTTTTTATCGTATCAGGACAATGCTTTAAAAAATGAAATTTGGGTTTTAATAGTTGTTTACTAAAGTAAATGTATTCATCAATTAAAGTTGATAGTATGTCGGAATAGTTTATTGTAATGGGAGAATACAATACGATATTTAAAATTTTTTTGCGCAATGTTAGATAAAGAGGCCAAACTTGAAAGTATAAAGTCTCCAATCAAAAGGCCAAAATATCTTAACAAGTTAAAAAGTAATCGTAAACGATTTACATAAAGCGCATTTCCACTTGCATTCATTTCCCATTTGTAAGATGCAACTTCTGTTAAAATCGTAAAAATCCGCCCACAAATATGAAAGATAGCGTTGCGCATGGGCAATCCATTGTTGACGTGCTACTTCAATTTCAGTTTATGCGAAGAATTTCATTTCAATTCTTTTCTAAATAAGAAAGTTGGAACTGCGCATGCGCAAACCTAAATTTTAAAACTAATGTTAGATTTTCCTTTGTTCCAAGCGCCTAAGTATCAAATTTCACTTAAATAGTTCCATAGATAAAAAAGTTGGTACTGCGCATTCGCAAAATAAAATTTTGAAACTAGCGCTAGATTTTCCTTTATTCCAAGTGCCTATGTATCACATTTCATTTAAATTCTTCCATAAATAAAAAAGTTGGCACTGCGCATGCGCAAAACCAAATTTTGAGATTGGCGTTTGATTTTCCTTTATCCCAAGTGCCTATGTATCAAATTTCGTTTAAATTCTTCCATAAATAAAAAAGTTGGCACTGCGCATGCGCAAAACCAAATTTTGAAATTGGCGGTTGATTTTCCTTTATCCCAAGTGCCTATGTATCAAATTTCGTTTAAATTCTTCCATAAATAAAAAAGTTGGCACTGCGCATGCGCAAAACCAAATTTTGAAATTGCGTTTGATTTTCCTTTATCCCAAGTGCCTATGTATCAAATTTCGTTTAAATTCTTCCATAAATAAAAAAGTTGGCACTGCGCATGCGCAAAACCAAATTTTGAAATTGGCGTTTAATTTTCCTTTATTTCAAGTGCCTATGTATCAAATTTCATTCAAATACTTTTATAAGTAAAAAAGTTTGCAATTCGGTTTATAAATGGTCGAGATGCGAAAAGGGCACTGTGAATTTTAAATCGATTCGATCCAACTTTTGGCATTGCGTATTATATGGCTAAATCTATGCCCATATTGAATTTCATGCAATTCAGTTCATAACTAACGGAGATGTAAAAGCGATCGAACATTTTTAAACAAAGTTATCGTTCACACGGACAGATAGATGGACAGACAGACAAAGGAACAGACGGACAGACCAACAGGCAGACGACAGATAGCAATGCAAAATTATAAACGATCTCTAGGATCGTTAATAAACGGCAAAAGTGTAAAATTATGGAACATGTAAAAACGGTTTTTTGTTTTTTTTACAATAACTTTTTTTGTAAGCGGTACAGAAAAAATTCCTTCCTTGGTACAGACTCGACACCATAACGAACCAAATAGCGAAAAAAGTAGAACAATAGCTCTTAAGATAAAAAACTAGTAGCGTCGCAAAGTTAGCGGACGGACGGACAAAGTGGCCACAATAGCGCATTTTTTTTTATTTTTGTGGAAATGCGCTAAAAACTAAATAATACTAACTTAGTTAGACGTTTTTATCATTGTATCGCTTTATTTGCACTGCACTGATAGAAATTGACTCAAATATAGGTATGTACATAATTATTTTGTTACAAAAATGAATAAAATGAAATCAATGTTAAATGATAGCTCGCGTTCAAAGTGTTTAATATGACCTCAACCTCGTACAGGCGTCATTATATCACGAAATCAACAAAAATCCAATTCAAAGATACCCGTACAATTTTGTTTTCAAACCCCTTACCATCACCGTCATTATAAGCATTACACATACAAAAATTGGATATCTTTACTAAAATCCGTTTCCAATTTCTATAATAACCTCGATTTACACCATATTAGGTATTTGTTATTACTTTTAATATAAAACGTGCTAAAATGTTCTGCTGCAATATGAAAACGTGCCTAGAAAGCAACTGTTGTCCAGTATGGGAGCACGTGTATGCATTTATATGGATGTCTTTGGCATTTTTATCCTTAGAGATATTTTCGAAACGACTATTTATGTATTTTTAAAATTAAAAATTCTGCTGCCGGTTGGTTTAAAAATGGCAATTTAATTAACTGTATATTTTTAGCTTAATCGCTGTTGTTGCACTAGGTGCACCTAAACGAAGCGCCCATGAATAATTAATATTAAGCGAAAATAGATGCACCAATTACGTTAACAGTTCAGAATTATCTCATGATACTCATTAGAGCGCAGTGACAATGTTTACTGCTCATTGTACACAAGTTTAACCCCTTGATCACTTACATTATCGATACAGATCATTACAGTACAAATTAACAATAGGAATAACGTAATATTCATATAACAGTTCTAGTATGTTTTAGTCATAAACAAGTAGAAAAGTACGAATGTAAACCGCTAGCTTCTATTATAATAAAGCGTGAAACCATGTTACAAGTTGTTTCTAAAAATCTCGTTAACACGCCTTTAAGGGGTATGGTTTTATTCTAACCCTCCTAATTCCTTTTCGTCCGCGTTTTGTATCGTTTACGATTTTCAACAGAGTAAAAAACAAAGTATGTAAACATGACATTGAAAAGGAAAGTAGGTACGTATTCCTACCATAATTTTGAATTTGCTGATTTATTGATTTGTATCCAAATCCGAAATTGATTAGTTATTTAGAGTGAAGCGCCGCTCCGTAGCAAGCGGGGTTCTGTGTGTTCTGCGGAACACAGGCCACAAGGGCTCGGAAGGGACTCAAAAAGTACACTTTAATATGTTGACTGACGTCCTTCTTTCTTTCGTTTTCGTGAAAAGCTGAATCTATCCGTTCTCCACAGTAAAAACCATTAATTTTAAAATCGAAAACAGGGGCAGCAGATTGTAGTTTGGTTTTAACTGGGCTACTATTTTCAGATCCTGTATTCTTGCCCGTCAGTTTTTTCAATGCAGCTTTGATGTTGTCTTTGTGGGTGTAGACTTTTCTACACGATACGTGCACAATCACAGTTTTCAAAAACTTTAGAATTTCATTTTTTCCGTCCCCTCTCGCCTTACTCGATTTACGCACAGTATTCAGTACCCTTTCCTTCATAGCACTAACTATCGCCGCAAATAAACATCTCTCGCAAATTCACAACTACTCATTTCTAATGTACAACGCACGACTTTTTTATACAAAACTGCCAAACATTGTATACCCACATTCGTAGACGGGCAGGGGTAAGCTTTTCCCCTGCAGCACTCGACGAGCTCCGAAAATGTAGGCATTTGGTACAGGTGTAAGCACGCGAGCGCTGAAAATAATGAAATTACATCTGAAAAAAAGATTATGCTCTATATTCAACGTGGAATACTGACGTAAATAACGAAAATAAAAAAGTGCATACCATCTTTTTTGGAGTACCTTTTTTCCAAGATAGCGGCTCGGGCGCTAGGAGTTTCGGTCCTAATGGACGTCTATACCAATTTTCAGCTTTTAACTATTTCCGCTATTTTTCTACCTAATTTGACTGGCCTATATTTATTTACAATTAATTAATAATATGAAATGAATTGATTTATAATTTTTAGGTAGTATTTATCACACACAATGTATAACATAACACGAGCGCATCAACGTTGGAACTAACTCGAAACACAGTTCGAATTGCTTATATTGCAAATAAAAATATTCGACGAACTGTTAAAGAAATGAAATGAAATAATTTATTACTGTAAACAAGCAAAGATTGTGAAGGCTTCCTTGAAAAAAAGACTGTTCATAGATGACTTCGCATATCTATGTCGGAGAAAAAATCTGGATCTGACTCTCAAAACTGCTCAAAAAACGTTAAACTTGATTCATCCTACTCAAAAAAGGCCGAGCACCCACCGAGGAAAAAATGAGACTGACCACACACTAGTCAAAAGAGCAATCACAATGAAAATACTGGGAATAACTATACATTTCTAAAGTCACATGGGTCCCCCCACATCATCAAACTGGCTGTTCTCATGAAGGTATGGAAGA